AAATAAAAAGTGTGCTTTGTTTATTCAGACCTCCCATGCTCAGAACCCTTTTACACTCAACATGGTTTGTGACATTTTCTATTTACTGTCTATCTTTTATATTTTACGTTCTTTATTTTGGTCAATCCTATATTTCGGAAAATATCACCACCCCAAATGCATGTACAATGAGGATCTTTAAAAAAAAAATCAAAATCAAAACAGTTCAAAGATCAGATCGAGAGAAATAAAAATGCATAAGGAACTGTACATCCTCTGGACAGGCGAGGAAGTAGGAAGAGAAAAAGCTCAAGGTTTACTGAGGCAGCATTGGGATAAGGCCACCTTTTAGGCACCTGCCAATACATTAAGGCTGGAGAGCTTGGGGGCTTGACTTTCAGGAGACTAGGCCTGGGTGCATGTGTTGAGGACCATACCCAAGGCTTCCCTCACAAGAAGGGAGTATTTCCTTCCCAATTCTGAGCTGGGGGGATGCAGTGCAAGGCTTCAGCAAATGCCCAGGGTATCAGGATAGGTTTTCCTTCTTAGCGTCTGAAGAAGTCCTCACCTGTCCATTCAATCTGAAATTGTTTGATTGGATCAGTGTGGTTCATTGGAAAGCAGATCCCCTAGTTTGCATATATATATATGTGTGTGTGTGTGTGTGTGTGTATATATATATATATATATATATATATATATATATATCTCCCATGCTCCTTGTCTCGAGTCTTCTTTCAGGGTGCGTGGGAAAATGAATGGTTGACAAAATTTAATGGGTAGCATTCAAAGCAGCAGTAGTGGAGCTCCATTCTCCACATGCTCTCTTCTCCACATGCCCTTCCAAAATCTTTCCTTGAGGGTCCCCCACTGCTCTGGAGCTGATTTTAGGGGTTCACATGAGAGGAGGGGAATGTTGTATTTTGCTAGATTCCAAGGTTTGGTCTATGTTCTGAAACAGACAACCCATAAGGCCATATTCAGACAACTGCTGTGGCACCAAGCTATTGCTTAATTCACAGCAGAAGCAGAAGCAGAAGCAGAAGCAGCAGCAGCAGCAGAAGCAAAGGAGGAGCAATTAGATGCAATCTCCCCTCCAGAAGTCCACACAGTTTTGGTTTGGCTGAGCATTACATGTGGACTGGAGCAATGTCTTCCTGGAATTCTTAATTCGTGGAATTTTAGCTTATATCCCGATTGGATTACTGCAATGTGCTCTACGTGGGGCTACCTTTGAAGGTGACCCGGAAACTACAACTAATCCAGAATGCGGCACCCAGACTGGTGACTGGGAGACCATATAACACTGGTCCTGAAAGACCTACATTGGCTCTCAGTACATTTCTGAGCACAATTGAAAGTGTTGGTGCTGAGCTTTAAAGCCCTAAATGGCCCTGACCCAGTATACCTGAAGGAGCGTCGCCACCCCCATCGTTCACTGAGGTCCAGCTCCGAGGGCCTTCTGGTGGTTCCCTCACAGTGAGAAGTGAGATTACAGGGAAGGAGGCAGAAGGACTTCTTGGTAGTGGTGCCCGTCCTGTGGAACGCCGTCCCATCAGACGCCAAGGAAATAAACAACTATCTGACTGTTAGAAGACATCTGAAGGCAGCCCTGTTTAGGGAAGTTTTTAATGGTTGAAGTTTTATTCTGTTTTTAGTCCTCTGTTGGGAGCCACCCAGACTGGCTGGGGAAACCCAGCCAGATGGGTGGGGTATAAATAATAAAATTATTCAAAGCTGTTGCTGAGATCACACTGCTATGCTTCTTTTTCTTCACATTAATCTCAATTCCATATTGTCTAAAAATTGCAAGTTGAATTCCAGTCACCTGAGCATGGCAAGAAAGCACCATATTTGTCTCCCAATCAATTTGCGTCATATAAATTTAAAAATTGTTTACAAGTGCAATTAATGCCTAAGACGTCTTTAGTTTTATGATTTCCAAATCACCCTTAATTGAACTGATTGCCTGAGGGCAGTTTTCAGCTGTTGTGAAATACAGACTCTGTTTTGCAAAGAGATAGGATCCATTGATATGTGTGAGAAATTGTTTTTTTTTAATGTGGCATGCTATTTATTTTGCAATATTGCCAATTGGAATATATATGGTTGTTATTTTTCCTTATGGCTCGAGCTAAACAGCAGTTTGATTATTACACAGGTAAAATATTCAATGTTATGTTATAGCTACTGCAAGCATTGATTAAAGTCTCTAGTGTTCATGAAGGCTGACAGGGATTCAAAGGAGGAAATGTAAAACTTGAAGGTACAGCAGTATAGTGACATTTCACTCTATAAAGCTGCCAATATTTTAATCCTGCACGTAAATCATTTCCATCAGTTCAATTCCATATCTTAATTTGTGTAGCAAACAAAGTATCGGATTGCATTATCTTTAATAATTAGGAATGTGGTGCCGGGTCCTCTGCATTTTGTACCTCTTCTCAAGAAAAAGGGGTGAACTTCAGTTTGGGAAGCAGAGGATTTAGCACACGGGGACAAATCTGAAGTCATTTTCGTTCTTTGATCAGCCTACATTTCATTATTTGCTCTATAAACCCTTTCGTTTCCTTCCTTTAAGTGATGCCTTCGTCAATGATGATGCTGTATCCGTTTAGAGTGATGATTGATATGGTAATAGATACAGTGTGATTGAAAGCAACCTTTGTCAGGAGGGAGGCCAAATACTCAAACAGTATATTGGTCTGACTTTGCTCATTATTGGAGGCCTTTCATAGCCATATTGACTTGCTGTCCAAATGTTGTTACTTACCCGAAGCTTTCATTGTTTAAATGGTATAGACATTGGTATTGAACATGGCTTTTCCCAATATTTGTCCTAAAAATACACACACGGCTCAATTATCCTCTGAAAATGTTATAGTTTGTAAGTATTAAAATGGCATTTGGGACTTGGAAATAAAATTTGTATTCAGAGAAAAAGAGCCTTTTATTGCCAATGTTGTTGCTTCCTTTCCCCCTCAGTACACCCACCCACCCACCCCTTAATCATTGTATTCCTTGAATAAATAGGAAGTGAAATGTTTGCCCATTTTTATCAACAGAGGATCACAGCATTTCCGCTTTCGTTGATAAGCTCTGTAGCACAGCAGGGGCTGGGAAGAGATCTCTGTATCATGTGGCTAGAATTTATCTGCTATTAGTTAGCTTGGTTGTTAGTTAGCTGGTTTCTTCAAAGTGGCCAGTGGTGTGCTTCAGAGGCTTAAAGGTGCTGCTCCTAAGGTTATCTCAAGGCCAAGGCCACCACTTGGCTTTACAGGTCTTCCCATGGTTCCTTGCTGCTGTAAGCTCCCACTTTCACATCAGGAAATCTCGAATTAGAACTGCCGTTCCTGGTATAACATTGCCTGGTCTATATGTGCAGAATCAGGTCATAGAATAAGCTGAACCACTTCAGACTATAGATGTGAAACACTACTTTCAAATGCACTTCCATATAATCCAACCTCCTACCCCACAAACAGGAATCTCCCCGATCAAGGATTGTGTAAGTTGTAGTCAGCAGTGTAGTGTCAGATTTAGAGGTGCAGGGTCCTTTTAAAGCAGGCACAACAGCACCCCTCCTAAGATCATTCACCCTTTTTAAAATATGCAAAAATTATATACTTATACAATAATAAAAAATAAGGATGCATTGTATTTATTAATGCAGATCTCTATGTGTTGCCTTTCAGCTAGATATATTATTTTCTGTGCACGTAAAGGGGCTAATGATTTGGAGTGTACCAACATCCTCTTTCAAAGTCACATGAGTTGTGCTTTCCATTCCATTGCACAGAATGGAACCTGGATGCCATGCACTGTGCCTTATGTTTTCAATTTCCCTAACTTACTAAATGTGTGGTCTTTTCATATGCTGGGGGAAGATGGGACTATTTTGGAACTCACTTAGAAAGATATATTTTAGAGGTTTAACTGAGTATATTTCCACACTTTACTTTGCTGCATGTTTTGTGATTTTAAATCTCTGCTGGGGTTCTGCCACCAAATAGTACTTGCCTCAAACTTTGTTCTTGGCATCCAGGAATTCTCCTTTTATACCTATTTTTCCTCAAACCAACAGAAGGCACCAGGTTGACTACCCCTGCCTTAGATAGGTGTCTCATGTGTTCTACCACCAGGCCAATTCATCATTTGTTTTCATAGCAAGTAAGCATTCCTGCTTGGGGCAGAGGAAAACAGAATACTACAATGCTTGCCTTCCCAAAAAAAATGCAAAAAGTGTGAAACAACATTTCTCAATTACCATTCTCTGCAAGACTTGTTAAGGGAAATCTAAGACTGAATGTCCTCACACAGCGAATTGAGATTTCTACGGCTGGGTGATTTTTATTTCACTTAATGTCTAACCTTTCATTACATTTGTCCCAGCTATGGATCCTGTTCTAGAGAGGCTTGTGCTGTAAGGCCAATTTTGATATAATTTACATGGATAAGTGGCAGAACATGATTCTCATGTCTAATGTGACATTAAGGCTTGCGTAAACTATAACTCTTCCCCAAGTCTTGGAGTACCTCCCTAATGAGCTGCTGAGCTGCTTTCACGTAAGCGATGTGAGATGGGTGTGCATGTGTAGGAAAATATGAAAGGAGAGGATGTATTCATGTATGCAAAGCACAAGAAACCCACCCAAATTTACAAAACTTCATATAGAAGAGAATATTGTCAAGCCGGCATTTATCACTGCACTTTTTTTTTTTTTTAAATCACATTACATGATTATGTGGAGTGAAAACAAATAGGGCCTCATAGAAGTTTTAAATTGGATGAACAGAAATTATATGGCAAACCCTGTTGGAATGTTGAAAAATGCCATTACCACCAGAATTGCAGGGCCTATCACTAGAAAAGAACCAAATGTTCATGAGTTTCTAAGGAAGACTAAAATAAAAGGGGGGGAGGACTACACAAGAAAATTGCAAGGGTTTTTGTTTGTTTTAACCAAATCCTGAACACTAATAACACTTTCTTTCTTTCTTTCTTTCTTTCTTTCTTCTTTCATATAATCTCTTTGTGCTTTACCTATAAAAACATATTATATTATTTATATAATAAAAATTACTACACACTTTACATATAAAAAATACAAACAGAACTATCAGTAAGATTTCCTAAAATGAAACCCCAGTTCCCCAGTGCCAGGAACACACACTCTAGATTTCCATCTACCCACCCAACTGGGCAGAGAGCCTGGAGAGAGATGGGATCTCTATAGGCTACAGCCACGCCCGCTCTCCCACCCTCAAGTCTGCCCTGGTGCTGCACCAAGTGATATAGACCAGATTATCCTCCTCATCCATAACCAGATCATGGATGAAGGATATCTTACTCAGAGCTTCCCTGGCATTCAGACGTTCCCCAGGTTAAAGGAGGGGTTGACACATGGAACAGTCACTAATTGTCTGTGTCATGTGCCCCTAACCCAGCCTGCCCCACCCCCACACCATACCTTCCCTGTGATTGGAGTCACCCCTGCTCTCCCCAGCTCCTCTCCTCCCAAGCATATCTTATGTCCCTTACTTTTTAAAAAAAGAACACAACACAACAACCCAAAATTTAAAAAAAACATACGAGTTAATGTGTGTTACTAGCCATGATGGCTGTTCTATCTGCATTATTGGAGGAAGGATTCCTCTGAATGCAAGTCACAGTGGTACCTCGGGTTAAGAACTTAATTTGTTCTGGAGGTCTGTTCTTAACCTGAAACTGTTCTTAACCTGAAGCACCACTTTAGCTAATAGGGCCTCCTGCTGCCGCCACACCGCCACAGCATGATTTCTGTTCTCATCCTGAAGCAAAGTTCTTAACCTGAGGTAATATTTCTGGGTTAGCAGAGTCTGTAACCTGAAGCATCTGTAACCTGAAGCGTCTGTAACCTGAAGCATCTGTAACCTGAAGCGAGGTACCACTGTATGAGGAATTACAAGTGGAGAGAGTGCTGTTGTTCTAAGACCCTGCTAGTGGGCTTCCCATAGACATCTGGTTGACCACTGTGAGAGGATAATGCTGGACTAGATGGGTCTTTGGCCCCAGCCAGCAATGGAACTCTTAAGATGGTGGCCCTCCAGCCAGAGGCGTAGCATGGGAGGGCAGGGGGCCATGGCCCTGGGTGCACATTTCTGAGTGGGTACAATCCGGCACCCCCATAACAGGCACAAAGCCCTGGCAGCTGAGGTACGGAAGCAGGTGGGTTGGTCTAGTGGGTAGGTGGATGGAGGCAGCAGGCAAGGAGCCTCTTAGAGGCAGGCTCCATTCATCCTCCACGTGGGCTCCATGCGTGAGTCCCTGGTGTGTGTCCCCCTAGGTGTGCCGCCTCCAAGCTGCCCAGTCTACCAGGGGGATGCAACACTTGCCCCACCCCAACTGCCAGCAACTCACTCTATGCCACTGCCTCCAACTCATTCTACTGGGACACAGGTGGCGCTGTGGTCTAAACCACTAGGCTTCCTGGGCTTGCTGATCGGAAGGTCGGCAGTTTGAATCCCCACGATGGGGTGAGTTCCCATTGCTCTGTCCCAGCTTCTGCCAACCTAGCAGTTTGAAAGCACACCAGTGCAAGTAGATAAATAGGTACCACTGTGATGGGAAGGTAAACGGTGTTTCTGTGTGCTCTGGTTTCTGTCACGGTGTTCCGTTGCGCCAGAAGCAGTTTAGTCATGCTGGCCACATGATTCAGAAAGCTGTCTGTGGACAAATGCTGGCTCCCTCAGCCTGAAAAGCGAGGTGAGTACTGCACCTCATAGTTGACTTTGACTGGACTTAACCACCCAGGGGTCCTTTACCTTTACCTTTTTTACTGCCCTGGATTGTTCCCATCACCACTAACAACTTCATCTAGCTTCAATTCCCCAAATCTTTATGAGTCGTTTTTGCACATATAAATAAATCCTATTTTTTAAAAGTTGTATGTCTCATCCCTTGCTAAGTCACCTTGCTAACTTTGTATTGTACACTGGTTTTATACTTCATAAACCTTGCATTATTAAAAAGGCATTATGTTTGCATGCTGCAAACATATAACAAATTACTGAACATAGCTTGGTTTCCCAAGCCAACTTCAAATTTACATCACTATAACAGGAGACAGAAAGGATTGATGTTTATTTTGCTTTCTTTTTTTTAAAAAAAGTCTGCTTTAATATTAAAATGTGTATTAAACTACCTATGTTTCTTGTTCCTGACATGCTATACCTGGTTCAGATTTTAATTTGTCTGAGCTTGTCTTATCATCAGAGATGTAGTCTTATTGATTAAATAATTCATTTAGCTGTCCCCAAGATAACAGGTCTGCTTATTGTCACAAGAAAGTTGATATACTATACTTTGTCTGAAAAGGTTGTATGGCAGGCAGAAAGTAGCATATAACTACAGCATTTTTATAGATTTTTAGACATTATATGCATTTCACTATATATAGTAAAATATGTATTTATTTGAAACAAAAATGTGTGCAAAAATTAGTTAGATTTAGCAGTTGTCTTTAAACCTGGAAATAAAGAAAAACTGACTCAATGCATAAGCAAGCTTTTGCACCTTTTAAAAAAACAAAAAACAGAAACCGAAATTCATCAGGTGGTATCTTGGTAATTCAGTCATACTATTTAAATAAGAGAACCACCACTGAACTACCTTGATTTATTTTATTTTTTTCTAAATTGGTGGTCTATAAATATTCTAATAAACAGCATCTACTTAACCAATAATGTCTAAATTAACTTCATTGATATCAATAGTTCTACTCTGGGGATGGGGGAGGAATTGATTTCATTTTACATTTAAAGCTGAATATACCAAATTTGTACTTTCTTAAACAATATGAGAATCAAAACACAACCCAGCCTTCAAAATTCACACTTATCCAAATTTTGCCACACCGTTGTCCAACCAACCAATGATCATGAAAATGCATGCGTGTGCATGAAAATGAACATATTTGTGAAAATTACATATGAAAATGTACCGGTATTATATTAACAGAAATTGCTTGCAAAATGGGTAATGTCATAAATGTAGGGGTTGCTCGTGCGTAAGTTGGTGCCACTCCTGGCTAGGTTGCCTTGTTAAACCTTTTCTGTCTGGACAGCCCCTTCACTTTGTGGCTGTTCAGTCGCTAGCAGAATCCGTCAGTGGGCGTTTCTTAAACCTTTTCCAGCATAAAAGCTGTTTGACCCCAAGTCTCCTCCTACTCTCCCTGCGCGGAAGTCTTCTGCGCAGGGAGGGTGTGGGTAGCGGAGGACCCGTGCTCTCCTCGCTGGTCTCCGGTGAAGAGTCCTGGAGCCCCCTCGCCGATTCCCCCATCTGCCCCCTTTATCCCTGGTGTTACGCTGATTTCCTTCCCCAGCTGGTGAGTTGCCTCTCCCCCTGCCGGGCGCTTTTCCAGCATCGCTTGAGAGCCTAGCCTCCGCCTCTGGCTCCGATGTCAGTTCCCTGACAGGTAATTAGTCAAATTTGTATATAAAAATATGTTTATTAGGAGCAATTCACACTAAATTGCTGAGGATTTTTTAAAACAAAAATAATTCACAAATTGCTGCAGAAAAATGGAGAACTGAATTCAAGACTGGGAAAATGAGAAACAGAGAGAACTGAAATTGACAGAATCAATCCGATTTTGTTGGATATCATCCATTAGGTTTAACTCCATTATAACAGAATGTGTGTAGTCAGGGCAGTTGGTCATTTCTTGACTCACTGCAAAATAAAGGAATATGTGCTGCTCTTATAATTACATATGGAAATATGTACACGGTCTTTTCTGGGTCAATCTCTCCTGCAGAAGGGATAGGGAATGGGTTAAGGAGACTTTATCTTTTTAATCCTGCATTTGAAAATATAATCCTGTTCCCACTTTGTTACAGGGAAAGGGAGCATATTTTAAAGTGACAAGTCTAAAATATATAGCTCCCCCTTAGCCTTACCCCCGCTAGAAGCCAATCCTAGATCTGGATTAACATATTGATTAAAAACACACACACTACCCAGTGATCTTACAGTGTCATGTTTCCCAATCTGCAGTATATAGAATTCCATATTTACCTCTCTTCCCAATCCAAGATGTAGCTTGTAAATGATTATAATAATAATATTAATACACCCTTAAAACAACCCCTGGTATTTATTTTTCCTTCTGTGAGCACTGGTGTTCTGTGAGCACTAGTCTCAACTGAATGCTGTCATGTGGAACAGACTGTTTAAGATCAGGCCATTCAATGTCTGTATCAGGAGCGTCCTTGGGCAAGGGAGACAGTTAGAAAACCTATGTTTAGAGCATTCACCCAACACCCTCCCTAAATCTGTATATCTCAAAAGCTCATGATTTGATAAACCATTATAGGCCATCCCTTGAAGATATGGATGCTATCCAGGTCTGCTTGGACTCAATAGATAAATGTGCAGGTCATAGGAATAAACCAAATAGGTTTGTTATGTACTAAGCTTGGATCCTAGAACAATAGGCAAGTAGGATCCTAGAATGCAACAACTGATTGGCTTGCAGGAAAAGACCAATCAGGCTCAGGAAGCAGACTCAGCCAATCAGACGGGACTCATTGTGTAAATAATATATATAAAAGCCTGAGGTTTGGGGGGGCAATTCAACCACTGTTTTCCAAGCTGCAATAAAGAGCATGAAATCACTGCAGGACTCCGTGTGTATTTCAAGATTGGACTATGACCAACCCTCAGACCCCCTTCAGGTGTTATTACCTGAAGGGAACACACATAAATCAGGACTGCAGGAATACACATTTAGCCCCACCCTCTGGAGACATGCAACGTATCTGGCTTTTACAACAAACTTCTGCAGCAATGAGCCTTGTGTCTCCATGGAGGCTCCTCACATGAGCAAGAACGCTGATCTTCTGCGTGTTGCAGCAGCCCCTCTGTACATGTGCCCAGAGCCACATTAAGATCTTTAGAGACCCTGAGCACTTAAAAAATTTTGGTGCCACCATATTTCTATTGTTGTTGTTTAGTCGTTTAGTCGTGTCCGACTCTTCGTGACCCCATGGACCAGAGCACGCCAGGCCCTCTAGTCTTCCACTGCCTCCCGCAGTTTGGTCAGACTCATGTTTGTGGCTTCGAGAACACCATATTTCTATATAATTCAATATATAAGCAATAATAAACCGTAAAATAAAACTTAATTGTTTGAAATGAAATGAAACCTACAGTAAGATGGAAAATAATGTTTATTTTTGTATGCTTCCACTTTATTTATATTTTGGGGAAAATCTACTTTTTCTAATTGCAAAGTCTTTGATCAGATCCTCAAAACTTCTATTTTTAGACTCCCAGCCTGCCTCGCTGCATAGTTGTTCTGTTGAAATTTTAATATACTTCAACTGAGAAAATGAACACTCAGCAGTTTGTGACCATTAATGTTAAAAATCCAGCGATGGAAAATTTCTGTGGTGCCCCCCTTCCTTGATACCCTATGCATGTGCTTATTTTGCTTAACGATTAATTCGGCCCTGTATGTGCCTGAAGAGGGTTCCAACAGCAGGATTCCTTGCTGCTCCTAGGGACTTAAACAGGACCTTTGGTCTGGGGCACATTTGAAAGCTGCAAAAATGCCCTGAAATTCTTCTTTCTCATTTGTTTGATATCTGGCAGATGACATTTAGCAGCATTTGACAGTTGGCAGTGCAACAGGGGCGCGGGTGGCGCTGTGGGTTAAACCACACAGCGTAGGACTTGCCAATCAGAAGGTCTGCGGTTTGAATCCCTGTGACGGGGTGAGCGCCCGTTGCTCGTTCCCTGCTCCTGCCAACCTAGCAGTTCAAAAGCACATCAAAATGCAAGTAGATAAATAGGTACCGCTCATGTGGGAAGGTAAACGGCGTTTCCATGCATTGCTCTGGTTCGCCAGAAGCGGCTTAGTCATGCTGGCCACATGACCCAGAAGCTGTACACTGGCTCCCTCGGTCAATAAAGCGAGATGAGCGCCGCAACCCCAGAGTCAGTCACGACTGGACCTAATGGTCAGGGGTCCCTTTACCTTTTAATGCAACAGTAGTTGTATCCCTGACAATATGGAAGTGTGGACATTTTCAAAATTTGGGTATTCAAGGAAGAAATCCTGTGGCAGCTTTTATGTCAAGGGTGTAATTGCCATACAGTTCCATATGTTAAACAGGATTCTGGGGAATATCCCAGTTACACACTCAGTGCACAGTAACTTGGGCTTTACCATCACACATTGTGAACCTTACCTTACAACAATTACTGATAAATTTCAAAAGAACCAAATGTTCCACAGATGACAGGTGGAAACCCAATGGTATGCCATAATTGGTGTACAAAAGTATTTAATATTCAATGCCTTTTGAAAGATTGTCATCATGGAATGCTGTTTTTAGCTGTCATGGTGTAATCAATGTAATGGTGTTTTTACATTGCTGTATTCAATAGATCACATACAATGGGAAGCAGCATTTGACAGCTGACAGCTTATAAGATTTCATATCTGATGCCTGACACAATCAAACCATCAAGAGATGACAACAAAGCTTCAAATTTCAAAATTCGAAGTGGAAAATTCTCAGACAAAAATGTGAAGGGCAAGTTTGGGAAAATTCACCAATATTTGTTTCAACTCCTCTCCCCAGCCTCCATAAAGAATGTCAGTGTATGTGGTGTGTGTGTGTGTGTGTGTGTGTGTGTGAGAGAGAGAGAGAGAGAGAGAGAGAGAGAGAGAGAGAGAGATTGCACCTGACTGCAGGGACATGCAAGGCACATGTGGCCAGTGGCTAGCCCCTTAGACAATCTGGGAAGGAGGTGCCTATATAAGCCTTGTGCCTGCCTCTTTTCTGCCTGCCCAATCACAAGCATAAGTAAAAGCACATTGCTATGCCAACTGCAGGCCCTCCAAGTGTCCCTATTTTCCAGGGACATCCCTGATTTAGAGAAGTCGTACCAGTTTCTGATTTGACCCCAAAATGTCCCACTTTTCCTTAGGATGTCCCTATTTTCATTGGAGAAATGTTGGAGGTTATGGAGTTTATCTGACCCTTGAGCTGGAGGGCAGCAGGTGCCTGCTCGCTTGCTGCCCATCCCTCCTTCCCTCACTAGGAAAACAGAAGTGTGGCAATCAAAACGGAAGTTATATTCAGAACAGAGCACGTTCCGATTCCAAAAAAAGTTCAAAAACCAGAACATTCATTTCCAGGTTTGAAGTGTTCGGGTTACTGTGAGGTATCGCAGGGTTCCATCTTGGTCCTCATCTAATTGAAACTGCTGGGTGAACAGCAGCACAAGAGAAAAAACTCGACTCCATATAATAGGCACTCATCATCCAAGGGTGTCACCCAACAACAATCCAAGGGGAGGGGCTGTTGCCTTTACCCCCTTTATAAGGGATCCACGGATGGTTCTGGTTGGCTGCTGAGTGACAAAGGATATTGCACTAGATGAAGCCTTGGGCTGGTCCAGCAGGTCTTCTCTTTTATTCCTATGGGTAAGAAAGTAAATCTGTGCACTATCTTCTATCCATCATGTGATCTTTCTGGGAAGATCACTGGATTAGGGGCCACTGGGAAGGATGAAAGTATATTGTACATTATATTTTACTTTACCTGCAGACACAGACATGAATGAATATGAGCAACATTCCCCAAACACCTTGCAACACTTCTGTATGTTTGAAAATATTGAAGAGGCATATTTGAGCAATTTGAGACTGGATAAATATTAAATAATAGTCATCATAAATATTAAAGTGTTTGTTTCTGATTTTTAAAAAAAAGATATATATTTTATTTTTGCATTATTTCATAGGAAAGCAAATGTTAATAAGTGCCAGCCAAAACTACTTTCATTTTTATTTAAAAGGCCACAAATTATTGATAAACACATCTGAGTTTCCAGATTGGTTATTTCTTAGAGGTTATTTGGGGTCATAATTATAAATCTCATTATCTTGCTTGAAGGAGAAGGTCTCTTTCATTATTACGGTGCTGAGGTCCATATCCCTGAAGCTAATTGCAAGGTATTGCTGCAGAGTTCTAATTGTTTGCCATCAAAATAGCTGTGTAAGCTTGATTAACAGTGTTCAGCAACATTCATAATAGTCCGGGCCTGGTCCTGCATAAAATAGAAACTGGGGGGAAAAATCAATAAGATTTAATAAGATCAGGAACAATCACTTACAATAGTACATCAATCACACAAAGTAATAGGTGCAGGATTTGATAGGGTCCTGAACTGCCTGAGAGATTCATAACCAGCACTCGTTAATGATTTGTTCATTTGCATTTTATCAATTCAGCTACAGCTGACAAGCAGAAGGAGCAATAAGGAAATATGTTGACTTTAACTCATCAGGCCTTGCAATTAAAAAAATAACAGATAATAGCAGCTAACCTGTCGTGTGGAAATCAAAAAGAGGGCTAGCATCTATCTGACTTTCTGAAGTGCGAGATTATAATAAATTGGCATAATACAAAGGCTATTAGCATGCCCATAACCTTTCAGTAAGCCTCATTATGTTTCAGGAAAAGTGAGACAAAATATTAGATTTTAAATTTGTCCTCTGCTTGGTATTCGCTCTCCTCTCTCTTCTCCATCCTTCATGTGAGACAAATCTATAAACACTTTTAAAAATGTAAATGTAAGGTGCAGATGATTGTCTAGTTCCTTGCCCTTTTAAATAAACAAAGCCCTAGGCTTTGCCTAGGGTCAAATCCATATCAAATAGTCAACCAGTCATAATGAGGCAGCTTTCTAATGATGATTATTTACCATTATCAGACTCCATCAGCATTTTTTCCCCCTACTATACCTACCTAAGCATAGTTTCATGTCTTTTAACACATATCAAGCCCGATAAACAAAAATGCTACATGTCTTTTTAAGTCCCAAGCTCGAGTGTGTGCAACATGTCAGATTGATGTCTGTCTGAAATAAGCATCCCAGAGCTGCATAACCTTAGAAGGGTGACTGGAGACATTGAGCGTACACATTTGGTGAGTTATATAATGATAGGAGGAAGCCTAGTTTTATAGGATTCTTTCCTTTAACAGGGTACCTGCCTTGAGAAGTTGTGCATGAATTAATTCTGCAAGTGTTCCTCAACCTTGCCACCAGTGGATGCCGTTTTGTCCAGCTCAACCATTTTTGGTTCCAGTTCATCGATACGTTCTGTATTTACAAACACAAACACGGCC